TAAGGTCAGTTCTGCGGACGCATTTTCCTCGCAATGTTTTTTAAAACTGGATATCTATATTACTTTGACACTAGACTACATTTTAAGGCTGCCTGGGGCCACATTTGTCGACCAGGGGCATCCAATTCACGAGAAGAAGCGTACTGCGTACATATTTTTACCGACTAAATAGGCTAGTAAACTGTTTTGTTTGTTTCAGGGATTTCCTGGTATTGCTTGAAGCTGTACACCTATATTTTCACTAAAGCGAAGATTAGGGGGTGTTAGTTGAACAAGCGTTCTCGGAGGGTGGTTTTTGAATTTGAGTAATAAACCAAGGATACGCTAAACTTTCTCAGAATGTGGCTTTATTTCTTGAACCAACCACGTAAATGAGTGTCTTCGGATGGTGCCTTTTTGCCTCTTGTGTTCTTGACATTTCGGATGAATTTTTCTGACAGCGCAAGGTTTTATCTACTACTACATGCATTTGCATTCTTCTGTTTCTTTCTCAGTCATAAATGGTTGCTGACCTGCTTGACTAACTCATCTAATTGTTCCAACAATAAAACGTCTCGGGCGATTGGTTCGAGAGAACGAAAAGGCGTAGAATTTTCGAATTTCTGAAAGTCATTCTCTCCGAAATCCCTTTCAGAAATTCTTAATGTTGAGAGGCAATATGGGCACATCAAGAGCCATTTTTGAACCATTTTTGAACTTCATTTAGTAGGAAAAGGTATACGTACACCGGAAATATCCGTTGCACTGGCAATCTTGGCACGCCACAAAGGGTCCCTCTTTGAGTTGAAATCTCAGGAGTGCCGCCGCACTTATCATTATTATGAACTGTATATTTTCATTTGAACGAATCTACACAATACTTTTCCTCCGTACATCCTTTTTTCCATAACCGTGCGACCAGATAACCTTTTATAATGTTCGACCTTTAGTGTCAACCAGTCTCCCATCGCCTTGAAATATTTTTTCTAGTCCATATCTGAAAAGTTTGCTCGCTAACTGGCTCCATTGTTCCAAATTCAGGCGTTATAAGTTTTAAGGGGTGTGCACAAAAATGAAAAAAAATAAA